ATTATGGCTCCTGGGAATATAAAAAACATTTGTCCAGATTTCAGCTGTACGCACGGGCGCACTTGCGTGTATGGTCGCTACGCCCCTGATTTGCATTTATTTGCATCCCGATTGAATAAGAATAGCAACTATTGTTTAAGCCTCTTTGAAAAGACCCTTGAAAATTGCATGCTATTCTCATTCAAAACAGTTGTGCTGATAAAATTCACGTTTTGTCACTTCTGTTGTGAAATACGTTACTTGGCAAGTTTAATGCCAATTCTGGTTTAGTTTAGCAGCAGTCTGGTTTAACAGTCACCCGCGAACATACATTAGTCAGGTAGGTGCATTATGACAGTAATGTTCGTTGCAAGAACGAGTTACAGCGTAAACTGTGCATAAACATTTTGCCAAACCGTTGCTCCATACTCTGCCACGAACACCTGCCATGCCTTGTTTGTATTGCAATGTCCTTGCGAGTGCATGTATTCATAGTTAAATGAAAGCAACTCAGAGCGGACATACAATACAGCGAACCGCGTCGGTGTTTTTTTAAGTAGGTTCGTCGCCTGGAGCCTGACAATATGAATGTTGGCCTTGGTAAGGCGGGACCGCATAAAAACAGCAGCAGTTAAGGTAGCTGACAAAACTATGCAAGACATATTAAGTCATTTATATATATATGAATAGTTAATGCATGAGCAACAGACGTACTGTTGAGTCGTTGTGACAAGTCGTTGTCTGAATTTGAGAGTGTGTTTGTGTTTGAGTTTGTTTGCACTTGTTGACATGTTAAAAGACTGAGCAAACTCGTGCGTTAATTTGAATGTTTCATTTTATTCTGGTTTGAAATATACTTCACTACATTTGGGTAAATTTAAATGGGTAAGGAAAAGCAGATTCGTTGACCAGCCATGCAGTTTGCAAATACTGAAAGTATTCATTCGATCGCGTGAGTGTGCCAAACATATCGGCTCATCGATACGCACCGGCTGAAACGTAAACTTATTAATTAAAGGGTAATTTATTCGAGTCATCAAGCGGAAAGTTGTATTATAATTAAGTCATTGAATGGTGAGTCAGTTTTATAATTATTTTTTTTATGGAGTCCTAAAACGAGAATAAAGTAACATTAACCTTTACCCGTTACTTTAATCCGTTCGTGTAACGCGAAAAGCTGTTTCAGCCCCTCTGCATTTCACAGTGTTTGACTGAGCTTACGCCGAGCCACTGACACAATGAATGAATTATGTATTATTCAGCGTCATTCTCTCTTAAAACAAAACATCACAGAAAACTGTTGTTATAGTATTTGATCGGCGTAGTGCTAGATCAGGCCTACTCTGAAATTTGTTTTTTGGGCGCACCTCAAACAAAATTGGCAAGAAATTGTGACGACTGAAATGATATTTACTCTATCATCACTGCCTTATTGTAGACTGATGATCACCTAAACTGGCTCGAATTGATTTGTTTGTTATGAATGACTTCACAGAAACTCATTTACACAATACAGAGTTTTTGGTATAGTTGTAGGATAAAATTAGATCATGTATACACACACCACATGTCAATTTT